TTTCAGTACTATATCCTAAAGCTTAATTAAAATGGGTCCATATAATCAATATAATTCAGATGTGTCTGCAGCTGCGAGACTGTCACATTCTTGATTGCCTAAGGAATAGTAGAAATTGGCCTATAATAAATAAATAATAAATAATTGCAGATCTCCCAATTCCAGGGACTGTTTAAGTAGGGGGTTTATAGTCACCTCCCCGTTTAGACAAATCATGTCTACCGGGGAGCATCTTTCACCCTCCTTCATCAGAGAGTAATCCATCTAACAAATTTAAATAGTCACAAGAGGTAAACATGCATCTTACCTCTCCAAACAGGCACATCTTCAAAAACTCTTCCCTTTTCAATTATTCTAGAGCTCCATCCCATATTGAGTTTTTAGAAGATATTGAAAAACAAATGATTGACAAACAGGGAAAAGGATACACGTTTACATCTGAGTGGGATCATTACACCCACTCCTTGTTTAGTGACTACCTTGGTTAGTGAACATTCACAAATACAACACTAATAAATTCATTTTCCAACCAAAGTGCACATTTTAGACCAGATGTCCTGTGCTTGACAACAAATGCACACTGGAGTTAGAGTAACACTGGCATAGCTGTGTGAGAGAACTTAACGGAATGAGTTGGCAGCAACCGTCTTCACAGTGTATGTGTCCCTCTCTGTGTCACATGTTGACTTAGTGACCATTTTGCTTAACAACCTGGTTGTTGGAATAGAACTTGGTTGCTAAACAAGGAATGGGTATACCTTCAAACAAAATCACTCTTAAGAAATATTGTTTGCATTTAGTCCATTTTTACTGGTTTGAAAAAAAATGTAAAAGTTTACTATTGCTGGACTTTAATTTACCAGTGACAATCCTTTACCACACCTAGACTTATTGATGCCTACTACGACCTCTCTGAAAGAATATCCTAATGCAATCCTAACATTTCACCCAGTGACATTTCCTCTAAGCAGAATTAGGTTGTCAGTTCCCATCATGCAGCAATCCTGCAAGGTTACATGTCTACAAAATAGGCCCAACAATGTGCTAAAGTGGCGAAAGTTGCCATCCCTCCCTTGTAAAATCTCAAAGCAGTCTCCAAAATACACAGCCCTTTAAATGAACAAGTTCAAAAGCTTTATTCACATGAGTGCAACTTAAAAAAAGCTGTCAGTAGACTGTTGGCTGTCCAGCAGCTAGACATAAAACCATATTCAGGAATGTCTAAGGAACTCATATAATACATTTGCAACTAGGTTTATAAATAGAATACTGAGTTTTGGACATGCAATGCTGTTAACATTTTGACTGGAACATAAGATTTGCTTTATTAGAATTTTTTTTACAAAATATAAACCCACAAAAATTCTAGGATTCTAAAAAAAAATTACCTTCTGTGTGCTCCAAATGCACCAAAATTGTATTTTTCTGTATATCTGTCACTCATTAAGAATAAAGCAGACACCCCCTTTCTGAACAACACATATTTAAACTCCCTGCTGTTGCACATGGAAAGAGATACAATCTGATCTGGAAATATATTTTCCTCAATTTCTGTACTTTATTAAATTTCATCTACTTAGCCTGTTAGATATATTTTGCTCAAGTTGTGTTCTTTGTTTGGGACAGAATCCCAAGGTGGGACCTGGCTCCTTACAATTTTTTCACCAACTACAAGAATACCAGTTACCCACTGCTGCCTAAGAAGTCATCCCTTTAAAAGCTTTGTAAATGGTAATTTCTGACTTAAAAAAAAAAAAAAACCACAGTGAGATAGAGAGGTCTTTAAAATTAATTAATATAAAAGCTAAACAAAGAAAGCTATGGACTGTTCAGAAAATCCAAGGGGAAAAATATACTAATCAATTTAAATGAGGCTTGGCACCCTCCTGATGCATTGGAATAACTCCCAGAATCGTGAGAACGATAGTCCAATACACTTGGAGAGCATCAAAGTTAAGGAAGTTCACTTTGAATAATTGTTATGCTTAAAGTTGTTGCCATGAGCCTCTTCTGAACTCCATGTTTGATTGGGTTTATGAGTTATGGCTGTTGAGTTCAGGAGACAAAAGAGAAGTTCAGAGAGGACTAAGATGGTTTACACTGTAGTGTAATGTACTACATTGTTCTCATACAGTGAAAGATCAAAACCAGTACCATGATTCTTGAAGTCATTATGTATTAGGTAAAAATATGACTTTCTAAACTAAATGGGCACTTTTCACGCTGAGATGCATTTCAGTTATTTGAGTAACTAGCATAACCTGGCCCTCGATAGCCACTGGCAGTAAAACTAAAGGATCGGGTATTTTTCCCTCCCACCAGACGCTTCTTGATGTTCTGATGCCTTAAACTGATTCCAGATTCTTGTGCTCTGGCCCGTTCTGAAGGTGGATCCTTTTGAAAGGCCTGGGCAACCCGGGCTGCTCTCAGCTCTCTGCACAAAAATAAGACAAAAGGATTAATAAACAATCCAGGGACCATAAAGGAATGAATGGAATATTTCCCAAAACTAAGGGTGCAGCTCAGTATGTTCAACTTTCTTAATTCAACAGATGCTTCCTCATTCTTGCATAAGGTAATCTCTTACACTAGATCAAAGCTGCTGAATACAGTCTGAAGTAAAATTCCATGTGTTTCCTTATCATGCAGCACGCCTTGCAATGGAGAAGAGCAGATTGATTTTGGCTTGTGAAAGAAATGCCAATTCATCCTGTATAACAGGGGCATAGAGGCATGATGCTTCAGAAGACCTTGGGGGAATCATAAGCCCTTCTCTCAATGCTGCCTCTGTGAGGTTATTTTATAGTAAAAGCACTACATACAAGGTAAACTTATTAACTAAATTCAAATTTTAGCATTTAAATTAAATACAAGGTTTGTACTGTTCTTGCACACTAGAATACTAGATAGTGGTACTCTAATGAAAGATCAAGCATGGCTCTTTACCTGAAAAAGTGAGCTGGGCCAGCATAAACACGGAATTTGATTTAATTTAAATTAATATTACTCCCTACACACAATAACTTTCTCCTGTTTCACTGACAATTACAAAAACTGGTGTCAGTTTTTGAAGAGACTTTTAGGACACCTGACTTGCCCCTCCAATATAAGCAGTTGGGCTGCTACCATCTCCACCTTGTTTCATGCATATACTGTAGTGTGCAAGATAGCACTTAAAGGAGATTCACAGCAAGGATTCATGGAAAAGTCAACAATAAACAACTTCTATCCTATCCTTTCAAAACAGTAGAACTTTAACCTTTCAGGGGAAACTCAGCCCATGTAATGTTTTGTTAAAGACTACAAACCTAACATATCTATATTCTATAATGGTTGAGGGTGATAAAGGGATCAGGGTATAAAATTCAAGTCTAAGTAGCAGTTAGAATGAGTTTTCCTCCAAGGAAGGAGTTAGCTTCCAAGCCAAGTTGTCCACAACTGTATCATTTACACATCTTCCTTTGCTATTAGAAAGCACAGGACTTCACCTTTCCAGCATAGCAGTTTTGAATTTCTCCACATTGAGCTGTTTCTGAAGCTGGGCAGCCTTGCCAAGAGAGGGTCGGAGGATAGGGTGCTTGGTTAGTGCAGCAGCTGATGGCCTCACAACTGGATCAGGATGAATCATCAGCTGACATTCAAAAAAACGAAGGAGAAAAGTCTTTCACAACCAAACTTTCAATGCCAGCATTCTTCTTGACTCCCCCAAAAGAACTCACCTCGAGCAGTTCTGTAAAGTCACATGACACTTGCTGAGGGATACGTGGGAGATTGCCTCTGCGGATATGGTGCCACGGGGTGTCATTGGCAGGCAATGGACCAGCACCTGCCGCCAGAGCAATAGTTAAGGCAAGAGCAAAGATGTCTGCCTTGGGCAGATAGCAATATTGCTATGGAGGAAATAAGAGAAAACCCATGCACCCATGTCAGGTCACATTCATTAAGAAAAAAAATATATAAAAAACCCTATCATGCACAGGTTTACATACATGGGAACTTTTTCATAATCAACAATTATGAATTGGAACACAGAGATTTCTACTAATTTCTAGGAACACTATCTGATGCAAGTCTGGATTATTAGAATAGTAATACAGAACATATTGCTGCGAATTAATTGTGCTACAATCCAATTTATCTAAAGACTGAGGGAGGGTGACTTTAATAAATCAAACTTCAGGTGTTAATAATTACTTTGGGAAGGTTCTTACAATATTCTATAAGTATTCGCAGGAGTTATTTGTTGTTGACCAGCAGATTTAAAAGGAACATGTTCTTTAAATGCAAATCTGGTTACTAGGTTTTCACTGACATGTAATACAAAGGTAAAACACAAATGGCAAAAATACTAGAATATGCCCATATTCGCTGTAATTCTGGAGTGGGCAACTCATTATCCTCTAGAAGTTGTGGGCTTACAACTAGCATTAACCCTTGCCAGAACTGCAAATGATTAGGGTTAGAGGGAGCTTTACCACATCTGAACATCAGTTGATTCCTGACCTAGTTTTAGTGTATTCTCATTAAAAGCTATTAATTTTAATTTCATACCCAGATGAGTTTCTAATAGCTGCATATAAGCCAATATGTTTGGACCCAAAAGACTGTAATGCCTTGATTCATGTCCTGGGACTTTTATTAAATTAAGATTAATGTATAAACCAGATAAATCTGAGTATAATACGAGCAATAATATTTGAAGTGTCAAGAGAAGTTTCTGCTGTTTTGAAGGTTCCAGTGCAACACTAAGGTCCTCCAAGTTTTACCTCTTGCAAGACTTCATTGGCCAAGAAGCGGCAATCTCCCTCCTCTACTTGTGGATTGGTTATGGATGTCACATGTCCAAGATCCCCTGCAAAAGTATTGTCAGCAACAGAACTCAATACATGCACCACTGATTTTCAAAGTTTTTTGTATTTTGGATTTGTCCACTAAAGAACTCCCGATCTGTCTGCAGGAGAAGCTATCTGTTGGAAAATTCTGTGGCATATGCTTATAACTGCAGTTAAATAGGTATAATAGGAGCAAGAACATATCTCATGTCTGCCTTATCTCAATCTGGTGTCTTTTAAATGTTTTTGACTTCAACTCTCATTCATGTGTTTTCATCCTGGTTCTCTCCCTGAGAAAATGATTGCCTAGAATCACTAGGCATAGCACATTTGAAAGTGCAGGAACAACACTGCAAAGTCAGGACTGAGTTTACATTCCAGCAGAAGATGCTTTTTTCATAAACATTGGATCATTTTTTTGTAAAACATCGTCCTTGTCTAAGCCTTCTCATACCATTGGTTACTTAAGACCAAATGTATATCTGAATTGCTATTAACAGTGCACTATAGAATACATACCAAAAATAGAACAGTTATCACTTTGGCTCTATTTTTATTGTGGACGGTGGCATGAGTTAACAGATTTCAGGCACTTCCAGATCACCAGTCTTTACATCTCCCAGCCCTTCTGATTCTAATATAAAATGCAGACAAGATTCATCCAGGCTGTTTTAATCATTTGCAATTCTATTCTGTCTTCCCTCTCTTGCAACTCAGCTTGGCCTACTATAGCCCAGGCAAAGCAAGCAATGATGTAACTGATCACAGTTAATTAACAATAGACTACGGTAGCTGTGACTCACTGGCTTCTAAACAGAATAGATTAAAAATGTGTAGTGCAGCCTGCTCTAACACAGAAGATGTTATGCCATTGGTAACGTCTACTCTGGAAACCATTTGACATCAAGTGGTCCAAAAGAAACCAAATTACACACCAATTTTATATACCACATTTGAAGCAGCAAGCCCATCATCTTCCCCGTCACTCTCCTCTTGACCAGTGGACCCAGGCAGGCTGTGGCATATAAAAATGTTGCCTGCAATCAAGAAGAAATAGTACAGGCTTGCAGTATGCATGCAGATAACTCATACCAGCAACAGTCAATGCAGCCTGCAAATTGTAAGCATCTGCACATCTCACCCCATAAAGGAGAATGCAGAACTTTGAACTCAGTTTCTGGTGAAAAAGAATCTTGTCCCAGGAGTCAAGATACGCAAAAAGTCAGAATATGGGCAGAAGGCTAGGATATAAATGAGCATATTGTGCAAACAGTCTATCAGTTTTTGCATACAGCAGTGTACTAAGACAAGGTTTGTTTAATAGTGATTTTTTTAATAAACCACAATTGGGTGGTTCATACAGCACATTAAAATTAAACAGCTACATTATTGTATATTATTTCTAAACCCAGGCAGAAAGAGACAAGGTCCAAGGATCTCTATTAAGTAGAAGCCATGATCATGCAACTTGAATCATAGTCAATAATTTGTAGGTGAACTTTAACTGAGAATCTATAGCCACCTTTCAGAGCTCTGTTCCAAAATGCTTGCAATTCCAAATAAATATGAGAGAGGAAATCTCAAAAACTTAAGTGGGCTTCCCCAAATTCATGACCATATGCTAAGCATACCATCAACAAGTTTAATCTGGCCTAGTTACTCTGAGCAAAATCTGCACCATGGACTTGTTGAAAAAACTGGAGGAGGAAGAATTAGGTACACTACCATGAGGTTCTGCAGCAAAGAAGGGCTAAAGATCTAATAACCCTAATGAATAAAGCATTACTGAGCAGACACGCTTACTGGGTTTGATATCCATATGAACCAGGCCAGAAGTGTGGATGTATTTCAGCCCCATGGAGACTTGCAACAAGATTTCCTTCAGCTCAGATTCTTTGAAATAATCTGCTGTCTTTGAATTTTCCAAAAGCACATCCTGAAGGCTCCCACCTGTGGAAAACCAAGCTTTCATACACAGCAAAGTTATTCTGTCCTGTCTGACTGGCACATAGCCCTTTCCCCCTGAGTTGCTAATTCCCACTAGGGGCACTTCCACACAGACATTATTGCCACTCTCCACACCCTCCTCACCCTGTTCCTTGCAAGGCCTGCAATTGTACTTACCGCTGCTGTTGGGATAACAGATAGAGATGACCCACACCCTGTTTACCTAATCAAAAAAGAAGTGCAGATGCCATCTCTTTCCCCGCCTACCTCTCTTCTTGTCTAGTAGTGCCACATTCATTTGCAAGATGAAAAAGAGAAGGAAACCGATATGCCTGCACAACGCACCATGACGCTCTGGAGGCATTGCAGCCAAGGAGGGAGAAAAATCAGGGAGTTGAGCATTAGTGGGAGCTCCCACTAATGGGTGAACTGCCTGACCCAAAGCCCTGAAGAACTCAAGCAACTCAAATTACAAAATGGAAGTTTCCCTGTTTGAGATTTTGAGCACTGAGCCAGAAGAAAATTAGCTTGGGTGCCCAGCACTACACCAGCATAGGACCAAAGGGACACAGTGCCACCTGTGGGAATGGTCCCAAAGTCATGTGTGAAAGTACCCAGAAGATATGAAGATTTAACCAGTTTCTCTATTCCTAGTGCTCCAAAATGTCTAGGACAAGGGATGGCTCGAATTTGGGAAGCTGAGATCCAACAAATACAAAATGCATCAGGTTGGGAAAGGGCAAATAATGAAGAAAGCTGATGTGAAAACATTATGAAAAGTAATCACATTTGCTATTCTTACCAGGTTTCAAATAAGGATTTGTTAGGATACTGCATAAACAACAACATCCAGGTTTGGATTGACAACTACTTGGTGATGTTAGAAAAGGGTGCGGGGTAATTAGCAAAGAAAAGCAATTTGGTTTCTAATTAGAGAGTTCCGATATTCATAAATTACAAACTTGGAATAGCAGCATACCAGCCAAGTTTCCTAAACCAAAGTCACTTGCATATATATTGCAGGAAGATCCAACTGATGGCCAAGCCAACAAATGCACATTGACCCGATACACACTGCAGACTGCATGAAAGAATGATGCTTAACTCCTGATCCTCAGGTGGAGCACTTTCAAAAGACTAGACATTCAGAAGCACATCTATTTTTTCCCATACCTTCTCTTATGACACTTCTTGATAACCAAACTCATTAGCGCTAGACTTTTAAAGCTCACAGATATTAAACAAACATGATTAACTGTTACAGCCTCTCTCAATCTGGAATCTTTCACCCTATTACAAAGTACTAAACTACAAGCCCTATAATTTCCAATCAGCATGGAAATCTGATGCAAGGCACACACCATGTTGCCAGGAATTCATAACGTTTTTCTGGATTTGGCACTGTGTAGCAAAACTCTTCAGAGGAACCCATCTCCTTACCATTGCAGTGCTCATTCTGTATGATCATGTGATCATCTTCTGCCCAAGCTGAGTAGTAGCGGACAACGTGGGGATGATGGCCAAGCACTGCATGGGCATAGACTTCCCGCAAAGCCATCTGCCTGTAGGCAGACACAGAAAGAGAGACCCACAATTCCAACCATGATACTGTTATGAGATTGGGATTTTGACAGGAAAGGGTTTCAGAAGCTGTTCTGGAGATACCTTAGCTTGGTTCCCACAGCAGACTATACTAGGCTAAAATGGGGCTGGAAATTTGTAGTTCAGTGTGTTGTAGGAACCCAGCCATTATCTTAGCATGCTGTGCAAACTGGGCCACCTGTAATATGGTTCATTTGTTTGATAGAGCATGTGATGTGAACACAAGAACTGGGTTTAGTATGTGCAGAACCAGCTCTTTAGTAACCCCAGCAAAGTCAGAAAACAGACATTCCTGGTAGGGAAATTACAGGCTAATTGGCTAGGAAATATTTGCAAAGGACCATGGCTTTCTTTTTTCTCTTAGTACAAGCAGAGTATGACATTCTTTTATAGGAAGGACACAGCTTAAGGATGCAGGTACTTCCAGGTAAGGCTTTTCCTTGCAATCGTGTGTGTGTGCGTGCCTTCCAGTAAGTTTTTGACTCCTGGCAACTGCCTGGACTAGTCCCTGTAGATTTTTTGGCAAGGTTTTTCAGAAGTGGTTTGCCACTGCCTACTTCTTAGGGGTGAGAGAGAGTGACTGGCCCAAGATCACCCAGCTGGTTTTGTGCCTAGAACTCATGGTCTCCTGGTTTCTAGCCTGGTGCCTTAAACACCAAAGTGGCTTTTCCTTGCAGTCATTCTACCTCATTTGCAGAATTCTGTGGTGGCTGCTACAATATTCTTTAATAGCAGTGAGAGCAGTTTCAAGAAGCAGTTTCAAGAAGAAACCTAAGAAAGATACAGGCTTTTCACATTGGGCTAAGCCATAGTTTGCTGAGCTAGGGTTTATCAAAAGTCCTACAATTGGTTGGGTTCTCATGACACTCTAAACCAACTTTTATTAACCACAGCAGCTGGGTTCAGTCAGCCCACTTAGCCAACCTTGAGCAAAGCAGTTTGCTTTTTATTACAGAGACAAAAAGCTGGATTTGGACTCCATAACCTAATAGCAACTTGGGAAGTGCTACTGTCTAAAGGTCCAATACGAGAGTATTGATTTTTGACCATTTGGCTTGTACATCAGCAGGAAGCTCAATCAGTTTTTCTGTAAATAATCTCCAGTATTACATGATGCCATAAAACTCTAGGGACTTCCTTTCAAGTGAAACAAATCTTGAGTGGTTGAAATTTAGAAAACTTTTTACAGCATTGAACATGGATTAAAGCAGAAGTACCCAACCGCCATCAACTCACAAGTTGCACTAGGTTTTACATAGCACATTGATACAGCATTCTAACTGCGAGTAGAGAATAACATATTCTAGGGATTTCAGGAGTTTTAAGGAGTAAATGGGTGCTTCAGAGCTTCCCCTTTTCCCCTTAATCCACCACCCCACATTTCAAAATACCGTATGCAAAATTGGGGGCACAGTTTTAATCCTTACTTACTCTGAGGGCTTTAAAAGATAACTGGCCACATACCTTTGCATCTATGGACCAAAGAAAAGCTGCTTTGAAGGACAAGATGAAGAATGTACTTCTAGACAGATGATGATTTTAAAAAAAACTGGCTTAAATCTTCTTTTAATCTCACCTATTTTCAAGACCCAGTCATAGCAGATAGCAACATACAGCTGACCTTGGAAAAAGCTAAATAGTCCAGTTTAATACTTGAATGGGAGCCCTCCAGGAGATCCCAGGACTATAGAGATGACTAAGATGTTTTTAAAAAGTATTCCAGAAAGCAAGAGCAAAACCACATCTATATTGTTACCAAGGAAACAACATGGATGGATCCATTCATGTAATCACCAAGAATTAAGGTCAACTCAGGAGAGACATTTTCAAAGCCTGGCTAAATGCTACTGATCTGTATACTGCCAAGAAAGCATAACAGAAGATGTACTGTATAGTTTCAGGAATTCAGAAGCAAATGTTGCCTGCGAAGACAGAATTATAATCCATCATTGGAGGAGGAAGGCTGGGATATATACATATATGTATAATTTTACACTGTACACTTACTCATCTGAGGACCCAGCGAGGGGTTTCTTTGAGCGTTTGATGGCATAGACACACCCATCCAGTCTTTTGATGCACTTATAAACAGAACCAAATTCCCCCACACCAATCTTCTCCAGCTCTAGGAATTCCTTCTTGTAGCGGGAAACCATGTTACTCTCACGCAAGAGGAATCTCTAAGGATGGATGAGAAGAATACATAAAGCTGCACTGCTCACCAAAGATCAAGCAGAGCTTGATAATCTCCTGTAATACAAAATCTTAGTTCAGGTTTCTCTGCAGTCACTGCCATTATTTACCCCAGCCTTTCATAATTTGACACCTCCAGATATAGAGGACAGTATTCCATCCCCAATCTTCTTTAAGTGTAGTTCTTTGGATAGTCCACAATTACATAAGTTTACACAATATACTAAATAATAAACCATGATTTTCAAACTATAGTAACTGGGTTCCAGAGCTTCTAGCCTGGAAACAAACAGCCATACTATGGGGCATAGTGCAGTGGAAGGCATTCTGTGCAGTCCAGATGTTTGCAAATTAAAATGTCAAGCATCCCTAAGAAGCATGGCCAAGGTGAGGGATGCTGGGAGTTGTAGTTCAATATCTGGAACACTATACAGTATCTATCTATCTGGAACACTATACAGTATCTATCTCTGACTTATGGCATTATGTAAAGTATGGCATTTAATATGAATGCCTGCAACTGTCTTCTGTATCCCATCTCTACACTCTAACTAGGATGACTTCACCAAAGCAACCTTTTTCTACCCCTTTTCCCCAATCTTGATTTCCTTAACCATTTTGCTTGAACCCCTGCCTATTTCTGATGACTGTTTTAGGTGGTTTGTTGAAGAGATTGCTCTTTTGTGAACAAGTTCTATGTCCATCTTAACTAGGAGCCCACCCTTTATTTTATTTCCCAAGACCAAGGGAAAAAAGATACTGAAGAAGACCAAAGCTATACTTTAGAATCTCCCTGGTTTCCCACCAGAAGAGGGCAATGTTGCTTTATCCCTTAAACATTTCTAGTGGAGAACAAAAATCCACCTTGTAAATCCTAGTAGTTGTGCAGTGACACAAGGAGAAGGGAGGACAATGGGATATTTGAGAAGGAGAACACAATAGCAGAAGGTATTTACTGCTCAGTAAAACTGTCCTGTTTCTCTCCTCCATACCATAAAGCTCTTTAAAGAGCTTTGTCTTCAATACATTTTCAATTAGAGACTTTTAATTGCCTAATTTCTCCTGCAGTAATTAATAGTCATTTGTACAATGGTAAGAAAAGAATTCAGGGTTCAACAAACTTCTTCACAACTTCCAAGATCTCTTCTGCTTAACAGGTCACAGCTTTCCATAGCTACAGATTGGAGATGGACCATGTTTCCCTCATTTTTTTCTTATTTGATTATTGCAGCCCATGATAAAAGCAGCCAAATATATTTAAAAAGTGAGAGTGTTTTGCTTCAAAGACTAATTAAAATATGAAGTGTATACATTTAATTGATTTAATGAAAACGTGGAATAATCAAATAAGAAACTTTTTTTTTTTGTAATTGGGATTTTCTTAACCTTCAAAATATTCTTTTCAGTTATAGTAAAACTGTGTATGTACTTTGGTTTGGAATTGTGCTCCTCTTAAACCGAGCCAACCAAAAAACATTTTACAGAAACTAACTGTACCATTAGCACTAAAATGTGACTTCAATATGGATATTGGAACAGTGTCCTCATCACACCTGAAGGCAGTAGGCTAGTTTAGAGAGTGAAATCACAGCACCTGGAACATCTCTGTCCTCCAATTTAGCAGAACTGCAGATGGCTCCTGCACATTGACCATCTGCCACATGAAATAATTGCCTCATTTCAGTAGTTGAGCAATCTCTCAAATTGAAGTCTATAGCTGTTTGCATATCCTATGCAGTGCTTTGGAATTGATTCTAACATGGTACAAAAGAGTGAGAAGGTACCTTCTTAAATCAGCCGCATCTTTTCCCAGGATCATGGAGGGCTGCAAAAGGCAGCCATATGATCTACAGCTCTTACAATGACAGCCACACTGCAGCACTGCCCTCTTTGTTGCTTTCTCTCTACACACACTAAACCATGTTAACATGAATTAAAATGTAGGTTTTTCTTTGAAAATGCATTCCAGATCATGGTTTGTCTACTGCTCAAGGGTAGTGCAGATACTTTTCTTTCAAGCAAATTAAGCAAACTTGGGTGATATTTGTGTATCCTTGGGATCACATTACTCACCTTGGCAGGCAATCCCAGCTCCATTAGTCCATCTTTTTGCTTGGGATCCTCTCTACAATGGTAAGTTTAATCATATGTGTTAGTTTTACATTGCAACGATGTAGCTGTGAACCTTCAGTTTCACCTTCAAAACTTTTAAATATTAGTAGTTTCTATAGGTACCGTATCTGGGTTGCCATGAATCCAGATAGCCACTACATGACAGCAAAGAGTTTTCAGTAAGTTTTTGCTACCATCCAATTATTATTAGATTTTATTTATTTATTTATTTATTTATTGCAGCTCAGCTTTGGTAGCCCTATTATTTTTGGAATGTACTCAGGCTCTACAAAGGAATTATACAGACATTTCTGCAGGTCCACATGCAAGGAACTCAAAAACCTTTATTCCAGAACCTTGGTAGATACACCCCTGACTTGGGAGTTAATGTTACTGATTTAGATTTTTCATGAAGGAACAATTTCCCGTCATTTGAAAGATACGGGAAATAACAGTATGCTGTTCTAAACTGGCTTGGAAGGAAGCCCATCTCCAACTATGGCAGGTCTGCAAGACCAGATCAGACATCTTTTTTCTCCTACGTATGCAGATGCATTAGTAACTCCTGCAGCTAATGGGGGAGTGCACCGTAACCAAACATTTAACAGTGAGAGTTGCCGCTGTTGCGGTGTTCAGTGAGGGCTCAAACTTTTCTTTCTATACTAGGCCAGCAAACTAAGGATGGGTCTACAATACAGACTTAAATCAATTTTACACCCAGTTCCTCTTTTCAGACAACCTGGGAATTATAATTCTGCAAAAAGAGCTATTAAGGACCTATCCTATTTTACATCTATGTGAAGCTGCTGGGTAAGGTCATTCAGCAGATGGGGTTTGGTATTATCAGTATGTGAATGATACATCTCCACCCCATGCCGAGCAAGTGATGCTGTTCACGTGCTTGCTCACTGCCTGGAGGCTGTAAGGGCCTGGAGGAGGAAAAACTGGCTGTGATTGTGCTGTAGCAAGGAGGAGTTGTTGTGGGTGTTTCCCCCCCATCCCCTCCCAGGTCAGGAGAATTGACATTTCTGACCCTGGATGGGGTAGCACTCCCCTGGACAGAATTGGTGTACAATTTGAGGGTCCTCCTGGACTCGCAGCTCCTGCTGAAAGAGCAAGTGGCAGCCATACCCAGGGGGTCACAGTAGCATCCATCCTGGATTGGGTGGACTTGCTCATGGTCACTTCTTAGTCACTTCCTGATTGGATTAATGCAATACGGTCTACATGGGACTGCCCTTGAAGACCATCCAGAAGCTGCAACTACTCCAGAATGCAGCAGTGCATGCATGTCTGAGTGTCCCGTAGTTTGCCCAAGTTAGACCGCTGTTGCACAAGCTACACTGGTTCCTACTTGCTTCCCAGGTGCAATTTAAGATGCTGGTTATTATCTTTAAAGCCCTACAGGGCACAGGGCCATATTATTTGTGGGACCGCCTCTCCCCAAGGGCATCTGCTCACCCTACTAGGTCAGATAAGGTGGGCATGCTCCAGATCCTTTCCCTTAAATGGTGTCATCTGATGTGACCTTGGAGGAGTACCTTCTCTGTAGCCCCAGTCTCTGGAATAGCCTCCCATTCAAGGAGCACCTACTCTTTTAGCCTTCCAGAAGGCTGTGAAGACATGGTTCTTCCCCTAAGCATTGGGCTAAGATGGGGTTGAGTCAGGAAGTTAATAGTTTGGTTTGTCTGGTGCCTGGTGGGAAGGGTTGTTCTGTTATTCTACTGTTTTATTGGTTATTGTCAGCCACCTAGGATCACTATGTGAGATAGGTGGCCATATAAGTTCATAATAAATAAAATAAAATAAAAAATATGTAATAGAAAATCCCTAACTCCTTACCAAGCTATTGTTTCTAGCATTCTTTAGGGAAAATTGTGATTGTTTATACAATGTGACTAACATAGATAAGTATGCCATTTGTCAAAAATGATACTGCTGTTTGCTTTCCCCTTACCATATTCCTGTGGCTAACTGCAGATTGAGTATGGATGTGGGTGGATTTTAATTTAATTAATCGTAAAGAATAAAATGTAGTATCCCCACATCCCACCCTAATCTCCAGGTGGTTTGGCAATTTAGCTGTGAAGGGTAAGCCAAAGGTTTCTAAGAAACATATAGAGAAGTTCTTAATGTGAAGCTTTTGCTGATCAGCAGAGTTCTCTTTGACATATAGCAAAAGCAACTGTTTCAATTAAGATGATGGTATTGAAAACTTTGTCTTTGGAGAATCTTGCCTCACTGATTTGTCTGCTGAGACCTTGTAGAATCAAATTAGATGGGGGAGTTGTAGGCCAATCATCCTACTGCAGACATACATATGTAGAAATTCAAAGTGAAAATACTAGATGGCTGTCTAGCCTCTCTGAGAGACATGTACAATTCATGCTACGCTGGTTAGCCCTGCTGGGCCTCTTCATAAACCTACAGGAATGAATAGTTTTGGAAATATCCTACCTCTTGCAGCTTTCCATTGCAAAAAAAAAAGGGGGGGGCGGGGAGGAGCAGAAACAGCAAGCCAACTGTTCTGAGAAACATGTCCATCATTTCTATTCATCTTGTTGATGAGCCCATTATGCTACTGAGAATGTTCAATATTCCTTGGAACAGAGATTTTGAAAGCCAGTGGATCACTAGTACTTCTCTACAAATGTAGAGCATTTCTTCAAGCATCTGGATGTCACATGGTAGAAGGCCAGGGCCTGCTTTCTATCTATTCACAGGACATAGAATGGTCTGTGTTATAGGAAGGCAGATTCCACCTGAACATTAGGAAAAATTGCCAAACTGTAAGAGCAGTTCAACAGTTGACCAAATTACCTAGGGAGGTGGGGTGGCTCCACTGTGTTGGATGCATCTAAGCAGAGACTAGACAACTATCTGTCATGGATGCTTCAATTTGGATTTCTGTATGGATCAGTGAGTTAGACTAAACAGTCTAAATGGTGTCTTCTAACTTTATGAGTCTACAGAGATGACTACCTGATCATCCTATTTTGCATCCTTTGAGAAATATCTTAGGAAGAAAACACTCACAACTCCCCTCTGGCTTTCCTCTTGCCACTGGGATGGAAGACCATCTGTCGATATGATTCAGGTGTAAACGGATTAATATTAACCAAGGAAGCTGGAGGAGTCTCATCTGGGTCAGGACAAGAAGTGAATCGCAAGTTCCTCATCCCCTTGGAGGGAAATTTTCCCACAGGTGAAGGGAAAGCTGTCTTACTTAACAGGCTCTAGAGCAAACAGACAAACAAACAAAAGATTGCCAGTGGGGAAACCTCTACAGCATCAGGATTTTACAAATGCTCAATTTATAGGGAGAAAGACCTAGTATTCCCACTATCAAAACACATTATGCAGTACCCTATTATATTTCAGAATTGTAGTATGCTCTAAATACAATAACCTTTTTACTAAACCAGTTCAAATTTTATCTAATGCACTCAGATGATCTTGTGACATTCAGATTGGAAAAAAAAAAACCCTCAACATCTATTCACTGAATGATTCCACTTCGCAGAAAGCAAAGACTTCTGTTTCTACTTTACAGAGAAAGAATGAAGAATGCTTTTTCATATTGTCGTGGGCCATCTTCCAAAGACAGTCGCGCCTTCCTACAGTCACCCCTGGGTTGCACATTCCAACAAGGACCTTATCGCCTGATTCTGCTTAATCTATCAACTAAACTACAATCAAGGACATTTCCACACACAAGGGCTACAGAGATCAGAGATCAACACTATCCTTTCATGTCCCTGCAAGCTACAGGGTTTCCAAAGACCATTGCATATTGATCCAATTAATCTTTGAAGTTAATTCCCTCAGCTGCTATTCAACAGAAAATACAGCAAAGGTAGAATTGTTGCATTTCTTCTGTAGGTGCAAGGTGATCATTGACAGGAACTTCCACATCGTTCTGCTTCCTGGGATTTCCCCTACCCTCCTGGAATGAATCATGGAGTCTTGCTGCCATTCCCCCACTGCTTTCTGCTTGAATGAGGTGCATCTCTGTTGCCTCCCCACATTCTGTGTTTATTATTTTCCTTGTCATGTTAGGCAAGTGCAGCTAGGGTAGAACAAGGAAGATACAAGACACTGGTTTAGCTGCAATTTTTAGCACTCCCCTGTGAAAGGAGATATATAGTTTATGGAATAGTTTTAGGGAACTGCTCATAAAGGGTTGGACTATCAGTCCACAAGTCAGTATAGGATACACTGAGACCTCAAGCTGGAATCTTTCCCAGCAATGTACTCTGCATGGCTGGAACACACATGAACAACTTACATCCAATCCCTAAGTTATGCTTCCTGAGCCATTCTGGAGGGCTCTTTCTTATTTGCAGCCTGAGAATCGAGAGTCAACTATGAGCCTCAATTTCCTGTTAAGCAGTGTCTTTGTCAGTTACACAGGTTTAGAACTCAAGGAGAGAAAAATGCCTCATTGCTTATCTTCATTATTGTAACCGTAAGTTATTTCTGACAGCAAAACCTTAATCAAGGCTCTTGATGCTCATGCCGTCTTTAGACATCTATCCAAATTAGCAGAGAGATGAAGTAGAATTTTCAAATAGTTCCATTTCAGATTGTAAGACAGCAAAACGGAATTAAATAATGCACCAGGATCATCTCTTGATACCCTGCTGGGACTCTACATCTAAGCCTGGATGACAAAATGTCAGGAGGTGCTTTGAAGTACAGCTCTACCTGCAGTGCTGCAATTGAGTCATCTTGATAGTTAAAGAATCAGAGAATAAAGGTGAACAGATTCTCTTGATCCTGAGCAATTCATCCACAAAAATAGAGGCACTGCTTTCATGACGATGGGGGAATGGAGCTCCCAAAATGCATCGGTACCTAGCCCAGCATCACCTCTGAAGCAGATGTATGGTACATTTTTATCTCCCCTTTCCACTACGGAGCACAGAGGAACATTGCATCATTCTCTTCCCTGTCACTCATTTTATCCTCACAATAATCCTATGAGGTACATTCAGCCAAATGATAGTGACTGGCCCCTTGTTGGCTAGGAGATTATGAGAGCTGAAATCTAACCCATCCTGTTGGCACCAAGTTGGAGGAGACTGCTCTAGATAATACTGAGCTAAATGGGTAAGCGGTTGAGCTTAGCATAAGGCAGCTTTCGATTTTTAAAGGAGTCTCCGTTGAAGCCCAGGATTACTTCCACACAATTGTCCACTCCCTTGGAATCCCCAAAACTGGACAGAAAAGTGAGCATACAGCACCTATTGTTTCTTCTTCTTACCTGGCCAGAAGAAGAAAGTAGAAATTGTAAGAAAAGCAGAAGGAGAATGTTTATCAGAGCTACTCTGTTTGTCAGAGTTTGACAAACATTAGCCAGCTACTCACATCAATATCATACTACCCCATCCCACTTCTCAGCTTTGTCCATATGTGGAACAGTTGTATTTGAGAACTAACAAAGCTTGGAAGCCTAGTGAATCTCCAAACAATTCTGAATCAACTGCAAGCACTCCATTTAGTTTCCACACCTCAGATCAATTCGGAGGTTTCTAACTAAATCACCTCTTTGAAGTTTTGCCCAGCCTTAAGTCCCAACCATCTGGTTCGGAAACACTGGCCAATATTTAGTGTAGGAGGGCATGCAAGAATATAATGAATCTTGATGATGGAATGGTAGATACATCCACCATAGTTCTGTTTATGCTTACCATCTGTTCCATACTTTGGGTGGGGAGGCAATGATGTCCTCATGATGACTACATGGGTACAACCATACAGTTTTCAAGGAATGATTCCTGATTAAAACATTGTTTCTTTTTCAAGACAATTAACATAATTTACCCCTTGCTTATTTTTTGGAGGCTTTGGAGATATGCACATAAACATGAAAAATTACATTATACAATCTGCCTTTTATTTCAGTTGTTGGGAGGTTTGCAATCCGGGTTTACTGACATATTTTAAAATTCCCATTATATGTCATATTGTACCTAAGTTACTCATGAGCATGAGATGCAGCATTTAAAGAGGTAATTAGTTTAAATGACTAACTTTAATCATATTAATTTCAGTGAGACTTAGTTATGACTATCTATGAATAATTCATTATTACAGCATATGACAACAACTATCTGACCTTGGCTGATTTTAAAAAAACTAAGCAGGGTTGGATTTGGTTAGGACTTGGATGAGAAACCATTATAAATCCTAATAGACTAGATTGGAAAGTTGAAGGGAAAAAAAATTGGTATTGCTGCCAAGAAAACAGCATGTCGATAGGGGACACCAAGAGTCAAGCTCCAATTGAGATGCTTGTTTCTTTAGCTTAACTTGAATGCTACCCATTAGTATGCATATATTAAATAAAATATATTATGCAGCATAGTCTAATAAAACATTGTTCATGCTGTGACACATAGAATACATCATTTTATTAAAATCTCCCAATGTGCCTTTGGGTGCTCTTCAAGTAGCAAGCCTAGATTCATCCTTCTGAAGCATATTACTATGTCTGGGCACACTGTTTGGGATTCACCAAACAAGGCTGAACACTATTGGAGAAATGTGCAGCCTCTCTCTAAGGAACACATAAAGTCTGAGAACCAGGAGCTGGCATGACCAATTTCAGTTAAAACAGCAAATATGTTTTACAGATTATAACCCCAGAAACAATTAGCAGTATTAGGTTCCAAGCATGATGAAAGACTGAAGATCAAGAATATGCTCTTAGTTGGTTTGGATACTCTAGAAGAACAGGTTGTGAATTATTATTGTCATCATTGCCATACCTTTGGAGTATTCGGAGTATCACAGAGTTGCAGCTTCTGCCAAGTGACATAATGCAAAGGAGTTCCAGGATAATCCTCCAAAGGGACAGTTTTCTTTCTCAGAGATCCCCTGCATTCCCTGATAGGATTCACCCAAGAAGTTGGGCGTGCCGGAGAGCAATCATGCACTTGTCTCTGTGGGGTCACTGGGACGGGACAATTCATTCTCCAATTCTGAAAATCACAGTTTTTCTGTGGAGTGACCTGCTTCATATCTTCCACTCTTAAGCTATTGTCCTCTTCCAACTCATTGTCTTCTCCACATCTGGAAAAATCCAGCCGCTGTATGAGTTTGCTACTGCTGCTCCAGTCGTCCATTGCAGCTGAAAAAGGGACAAAGATATATCATGCTAAGCCATAATTTAATTAGTGTACTGGCCTTGGCTTAGAGAAGCTTATTATGGCTCACATATGGTGTTAACAGATTAGTGCAACAGATAAAACCAACCAAAATAAGTCTGGATTGACACACATCAAATTATGCTTTGCTTAACTATAATTTGATTAAACTCCAAGCAGCTGGATTTAAACATAAATCATAAACAATGGCTCACAGATTTCAAAGGTTAGATTCACAAACCACCTTAAGATTTAACCTGTGCGAATTCACCCAGAAAGTATATCATGTATAGATATGAACTCTGTATAGTAACCATTGCAATCCTGAAATCAGGTATGCCAAGCTTTCATCCTAGATGATGAGTTTGTTTCTTCAAACCAAGCCAAATTCTTTAAAAAGCTTTTCTTCTCATCATTCAAGGACTTGGTTAGCACTTATAGTACTATATATAAACTCTTGATTTGTTCCTAATCAGATAACTACTGCTAGCTGTTCAGAGCCAAGCTTTATACACACAGCACATTCTGAGAAGCCCCCTAATCTATATCCAGATTAAAATGAACGCTATCTGGAAGAGTAAATAGCCTTTTAAAAAGGACAGACCTCTATTTTTCAGTGAAATCCTGGCACAAAATTCTATTAAAACAAACATGCTGTGTATGCTAAAAAGGGAATAACCCCATTTAATATATCTGAAACATATTTTCAAGTAGGCACCAATGGAATAAGGTATGTACTCATTTGAAGCAAGCATTCATCATACAAGGTTTAAGTCAGCCAGTTGGTACGTAAGCAAAACAAAGGCTGAACACAATGTCTCTTTTATGTCGTCTCCCAGTCATAAAAAAAAAAAAGTCTCTGTAGATAAAAATGCACTGAACCAGCCAGCAAATATTGCCTGACCCCCAACCCTTTTATGGCTGAAAAACGTATTCAGTACCCCAACAGAAGTTGTAACCGCTCAACTGGTAGTACAGTTAAAAGCACAGTAGCATCTATTCAAAATTACCCTGGAACTTGCTGTTAAAACCACTGATAGGCCTTATGGATTACGCTGGGGAAGTTTGCAAACATCACTTCCTGCATATCCTCTGCTTTCATCTAAGGCAATTCTGTAAAAACTTGCACCTAGCCGTGCCCTTGGCCTTTAATGCCTTTAAGCCAAACTGAATTCACTGCATTGTAGCTCTGTGGATGCGAACCCCACTGTATGGAAGTAGCTTTCCACTGCCTGCTTCCAAAATACCTTTTACTGTGCACTCCACAGCCCTGGAATTTCTTGGTCTCCCATTCAGCTAGTAACCAGGTCTATCTCTGCTTAGGTTTTTGAGATAAGCCCAGGTCAGTGAGGCCTTCCTGCCTAACAAGTGGTTCAGTGTCTGGAATCTTCAGGTAAAATGTGGGAAGGATTCCAGTCTGAAACATGAAAGCTATTGCTATTAGTAGGGCATGCTGGTTGGGGAATCCTGAGAGTTGAAGTTCACACATCTTCAAGTTTTCAAGTTTGAAAAACACCATGTTAGATGGACCAGTGTTCACTGTTTCTTAAAAACACTGGAAGCATGATGGAAAAAAGATGCCTCGTTGCTTCACTTCGGAAATGTATATATCCCAGAGATGAAAATATCAATATTAAAGACTACAGGCTAGATATTTGGCCTCAAAAAACATGCCAACAAAAAGCTTATTTAACATTTTAAATAAACAGGTAACCTCCAGCATTATGAATCCATTTTCTCTGATTTCATATCAGCAGCTAAACTTCAAAAAAGAAAAAGAAAACTTTTTGTAAGTTTAACAACAAAAAGCACCATCAGAAGGGTGGATTCTCGCCTGTGTGAGCCAAATCTTATATATTTGTCCAAAAGAAAAATTCCATCATTTAACAGAGCTTGCAGCTGAAAGAGATTACTGCTTTGCTAAATAAGACTTGTTTTCAGATACGCAAGCCTATAATTCTAAACCTATTTAGTGCAAGTAAGATTCAATGTCTGTCTGACCACATTGGAATGCTAGGAAGTAAATTCCATTGGAATTATGCTCAGGCAGACATCAGTAATGTTTACTTGTGAATAAGGGCTGTTTTACATAGTCTGGGATTTGCAGCCTTCCTATTTAATCAGAAATTAAATAGTTAATCAGTTACTCAAAAGATCTTGGTATGTTATTGACATGCAATTATTTTTCCTGTTTGTGATTGTTTTTCATCTTACACATATACTATGTCTAGGTTGTTTTCATGTATAGAGATATTCATGGTTGGTATTGTTCATGTATATCACGCAGAATCATTCTGAACGGGGTGGTCTGAGTGCTGTCAAATACATTAGATAATAAATAGTTGTGTGATAAGGAGGCCTGTAGTTTTTAAAGCTCTTGCTCACCTATTGTGCTACAACCATAATGTGATTTTAGTGTACAAAATGGTGTGGAACTCGGTCATGTTTTGCAAACCATGATTTATAGTTTAAAATACAGGTAGTCCCCCGGTTAAGAATGCCTGGTTTAAGGACAACCCATAGTTAAGAACGGAGCCTACTGTAGCTAGTCCCCCGGTTAAGAATGCCTGGTTTAAGGACAACCCATAGTTAAGAACGGAGCCTACTGTAGCTAGTCCCCCGGTTAAGAATGCCTGGTTTAAGGACAACCCATAGTTAAGAACGGAGCCTACTGTAGCAAAATGTGAGTTAAATACACAATGATTCAAGTTAAATACACAATGGTTCGAGTTCATTTCACAATACTACTTATATGTTCCAGCTAACATACAAATTTGACTTAAGGGCAGACCTTGGGAACAGAACTTTCCATTCACACAGTACCCAGCCCAGTGAACGGATCATTCAGTAAACCATGTTTAAACCCAGCCTGAGTTAGCATAATGTGTGAACCAGTCAACCGGTTGCATTTTGGTTCATTTAGCACAATTTATTCTGCTCTCTCACTACCTTCAGGTGCCTTGTCAAGATTGCTTAATTTTAATTGTGGTTAATCCTTTTTGTGGCTGATGTTATGGAAACAGAGACTGTGTGGCAAGTTTATCGTTATTATGTAAAACCAGCAAAGTGGTTAAGATGCTGTGCCAACAGGGGTACCAAGTCGTGTCAGCGGTGGATTTGAGAAAAAATACATCTCCTTGGAGTAGGTTGCCAAACTCTGGATGCAGATCCCTTTTGGCCCCATCTAGCGGTCGTAGGAAATCTTGCCGTCCAGATCTGGGTCTCTACTCGGAGGAAATGCATACCACCGATGTAAATGCGTAGTCAACAATCACGTTTCCCTGCTTTCCTGGATGCGCCCCTGTCCGCTTTTAAAACTGCGGTCTTAGCGGATAATGGACCTTAGAGGGCCACTCGCAAGTAAATCCTACTGAGCGGAGTCGACTGACGTTCAGCGAGAGTACAGCTTTAAATGGTGGTGGTGGCGGCTGTTTTCAGCTGAAGTGAGATTCGCTGCTGGCCGAAGCTTTTCAGCGCGGCAATCCCATGCGCGCTTCCTCGAGAGCCAGCTCCAGTCCGACGGACTCGGGAGGGTTTCCTTCCCAGTAAGCCATGCCGAGGCTCGGGCTCCACCTTGCAGATTTCCCCGGGCTGGCGTCCGCGCGCACGAAGGATCGGGGCGCCGGGAACCCTCCGCCAAGCAAGGCCTCCCGCGTTCTCCTTCCCGGCTCGGCCGGGGGAAGCCAGCCAGGCAGCCCGTGACGGGGGAGGCGGAGATCGAGCGACCGCGGAGGCTGCCCAAGCGCCGCCCTTCACCTCCGCGCGCCGCAGCTGGCTGGCCATGGTGGAGCAAGCCGACGACGCGCC